TAACTGGGATGGGTCACATGAGGGCCTTGAAAAAAAAAACTTGGATATCGAAAACAAATCATGGATGAAGTCATCGTTTTATTCTGCCCATGGGTTTGGCACCCCAATCACCGGTTCCTGAAGAACAGTAATGCTTACCTGGTATGGGATGAAAAGGAGGGCAAGGATTCAATTCAGCAGTGGTCCCCATTTGTTTTCCGTGGCCCTCACTCAGCCAGTGTTCATATCAGTAATGAGGAAAGGTATAAGTAGCTTCAACATGGTCATGGACGAGGTGGGCATGGTGGGTTGGCATGAGACGCTTTTACCCTTTTGCGTCCCCTGCCAGATGGATTTCCAGCAGTAATAGTCGCCTATTCTATTCTGAGTCCATGAGATGATCCAGAAATTGTGGGGACGAGAAAGCGTGGCCTCAAACTGGCTTAAATCGTCAGTAATTATGAATAAAAATATAGCCAAATACGGAATGTTCTCTGCTGTGGCCAAGTGAATGGTGTCTCACCTGCTCATGACGTTTTTGTTCTGAGGCAATTCGTGGTTGAAACAATCCAACGCAAACAAATGAAAAATGTGGAGGGAATAATACTCGAACCATCGAAGGGACTAATGGATGGACGAGTTGTCATGCTGACTGAAAACAGAGATTTTACTTAGGCATACCAAAAAACAGTAATGTCTTGCTAGATCTGAAGTAGGATGAGCAGTTTTTCTCCAAGACTGATCACAGTAACAGTCGTGTTTATAAATTAAAACTTTAGTTTGTTTTTTCTTTTACCTTTTTTCTATTTGTTCAAATCTGCTCTTTTTTAGTGATTGTGGCACGTTTCTAGCTCGACAAACAACTAAATAAACAAGTAGGTATATGACTAAATGAATAAGTAAATAAAGAAATAAACGTTGTAGTATGAGATGCGGACTCGCTACAGTAATTGTACCGTAAAATGGCGAAAATCAGCTTCCATTAACTTATACAGCTTTTTTTATCAGTTCACCCCTTGAAGACACAATTCATAATAATTCTGAGGCACCCTTTCAAGTTGAAAAGTGGAAATGTCGAAAATTTGCCGACTATGCGAAAAAAATCCTAAAACTGGTAAGGGTAGAGGTTGTACGAGATTAACATGACTGGATTGACATGGGGAGTAGTTGGACGAGATTTCAATCGTTGTAATTGCATAGAAAGCTGATTACGTTAAGCCAGAAATGTACAAACTGCCCCTCTATGGCCGTGGATCACAAATAGCTTCTTGACTTCCAGCATGGGTGTTCCTTGTGAATGGGGAGTTGTAACACTTTACTGAAGATCCTATAATAAGGATCCTGAGAAAGGGAGAGGAAGCTTGCCAAGTTGTAAAGGCAGTCTGCTGGTCAAAGGCTATCGAGGCAGACGATTCCCTGGGGTAACGGAGATTTGATCAGCTTTTGAGAGGCTGGCACGGCCAGCGTTGTGGCTAAGAAGACTTATTCTCTTGAAGAAGATGGATGTATTGGGAATACGACTACACTGGGGAGTGAATACACTAGGGAGTGAATTGTTGCAAAAAATTCAGTGCCCTTTTTTCTTGAAGGTCTAAAAGGGAAATGGGAGGTGGTGTATTGGCAAGTGGCGCACTATCTAATACGCACGATCAGTGGTTTGAATCCCGGATCGATGCCCGCCTAGGCGAACCAAGCCTTTCAACCCTCTGGGGTCGGTGGATTGGTACCAGACTCGTCTGGGAGGATAAAAGTAGATGATTACTGTAACTCAGTTCACATGACCCTAGCTAGGCTTCCTTGCATGGGCGGGCGTGGGGTGTGAAGGGGCTGCGCTGCCCACCCCCCTCTGCTCCATCCGCTTTTTCCAAACTTAACTTTGTGAACGGTATTTCGGTTTCTCAATTGATAATTATGAAGATTGATCAATTGATAGTTATGGAAAATGATAAATAAAATACATATAAAAGTTCCTACAGAAAAAAACACGATTAGTGTCTCTGAACCAAGGTTCCAGGTCAATTTTTTTATTTATTTCATAAATATTTTACAATGAACCGATGAGAAATGTGTGAAGTAGAAAATGACGTACATACTACAAAAAATCGGATGAAATTCAGAAATAAGAGGCAAAAAACACCATGTAATTGATTTGAAAACAATGAAAAAGAGGTCAAGATGAGAATATAGGCGAGAAACAGCTGAATAGACTAGAAATTTAAAATTTATAACATCAGAAAACACAGTGGATATGCTGCAAACTAGACCCCGAAAATCCGTACAGTAGGTCATCGACGCGCGCGGTTGCGAAGCGGTTGCCCCTTATCTTACAATATGACGGAACTCGAATCGCGCTATGAAAAAGTCAAAACCAAGGTCTTTTGTATTTTTTTTTCTTTCCCATTTTCACACGCGAAACTTGGATTTGCCCGAAAGCGCGAGTTAAAGTCCCATCTTGGAGAATAAGGAAATACAATTTGAGCACAAACCACACTGAGATAAGATGCAGGAGTTCACCTTCGTAAAGCTGATTTTATTTAAACTCGTCCAAAATGTGTC